CGTGCTCTCTCGATGTGACTTCACTTTTTACAAATGTGCCGTTATTTGAAACTTTAAATTAAATCTATGATTATGTCGAAGAAACCAAGGTATCTATTGGCATATCTACGATGGCGTTAAAGAAACTGCTGCCTCGGTGCACTTTCGACATTTAGTTTCTGTTTTACGTTGAATTGTATCGACAGCACGATGGATTTGCTGTGGGCTCTCCACTTGGACCGTTTCTCGCGGACGTATTTCTGGGTATGCTTGAACAGGGCAAGTTGAAGTATGTCATCACGAACCTCAGTCCTTACCTCAGTCTTTACCTCCTCTCGAACCATCGAAGATCTTAATAATGAATTCCATCAGGTGCACGAAGCACTGAAGTCCAACTCCGAATTAGAGGTAAATGGTACTTTTCACTTCCACTACTTCGCAATGAAGCGAATCTAGAGTGGCATGTTACAACTTAAGGTGCATAGGGAACACTCGTAGAATGGACAATACTTGAATTTCCACAGTTTCGTCCCACTGAAATTAAAACTGAACCTGACCCTCAGTCTAATGAGTCGAGCAGAAAGAATTGGCTCGAACGAAACGTTTCCCGAAGAACTGAATCGCATGCGTTCGACGCTGAGAGAAAATTGTTATCTTGACAGTTTGCTGCAAGTCAACATGGAACAAAGGGAGAAGGCTCTCGTAACCGTTACAGTCCAGAGAAAACCCATATTTCTCCAGCCACCATACAAGAGAGAAATCGCTGCAGCACTCATAACTCATCGCCTTTCACATGCCCTCAGACACACTTTCCCAGCAGCTAACATGCAAATCTAATTTGTCGGTAGCCCAATGGTTAGAACTAGCCCAAAGGACAAGAGGATTGTCCACGCCTAGCCAATGTGTATTTATTCTTTTTCCTATTCCTGTGGGGCAGGGTACATAGGCCGAACGACGAGGAGCCTGTCTGAAAGGGTGAAAGAATACCATCCGGCTTGGCTCATGACCGCTTGTCGAAAACAAACCAACTCATCCATAGCCACGCATCTCACCGACACTGGCCACGCCACCAACTTAGCTGAGTCATTCAAAGTGATCTAGCCGTTACCAGACAATCGACCAAAGTGCGTTCGCAAGCGTCTGCTTGAATCCGCGGAGGCCATCGCGATTCGATTGTGCGAGCCGGAATTGTGTATTCCAAAACGGCACGTTAGGACATTAAAACTGCCTTGGCCCACCCGAACTGCCACATCCGGCTCACTAAATGGAGTGTACGCCGCATTTGTGACTTAACGGATAGTGATTATGCTTGATCAGTGACTGTGAACTGAGTTTGTCTTACCAATCTTTCAGTTGTGTTTAACAATTATTGCAAAGTGCAAAGTAACGAGCCTCATAATCACTATTCGACCGCTATATCTCTGAGCGTTAATATGCGGAACTTTATTTTACAATTACTTCATCTTTAAGATGTTGGTGCTCTTTGAGCATTGTTTAGGTATTCGTTCCTGTCTGATGTACCATAAAGGAAACTAAAGAGCAAAAATGGTAAGCAAGTACTATTTAATATATAATCGCGCAACTGCTCTTTAACAAGAGGGATGATGTTATCGTGAAACTCTAATTGCAATAAATGTACAAGGCGTGAAACAATATTTCTATCAAAAGACACTTTTGAATGCTGTACTTTGGAACAAAGTTACTGTGGAATAATACCAGCAAAAATGCTAAGGCTTCACAATTCCATATAATGGTAGATGTTAAAATGCGAAAGGAAGATAAACCGGCCGTCTGTGTTTTACTATACTATATACCTTAACGCAGATGTAACTCCATTTGCTGCAACTTCGTGGCGGCTGAACAGCACGTTTGTGGTTTGTCGGCGTTCATAGAGCCGGAATCATGGAACTTAAAGCAAACGGTGCATTGCATCATCTGCTCATTTTTCCTAATAAGTAACTTTGGTGCGGTAATGAAGAAAATCGGAAGAGCGTTCCACGGATAACCAATTCGGGAGTAGAAGGAAATCCTGCTGCATTCCAACCGACTGTATTTTGTAACCATTTTCAGCTGATGCTCCCTCGGACTTTTGCTGCGGATAATTTCAGGAGGTTTTTGTTGTCACGAAAGACTTTGTCAAGATCTGGTACGTTATGATGAGGTCACCAAGGAGACGGTGATTACGTCCACTGTACAATCCTAAAGCTTTCAGTCACAGTTGGTATGACAGCTGAAACAAGCCATTAAGGTTATTGGTTTCCGTCCGCTTTGTGGTCTCCATTGCCTCCAGTTCGCGTTTTAACCAGGTTTGGCAGGCATGAATCGCATACACAACATGGTGCATTACATACGCATTGAGTACTTGCGGGAAGATGGATGTATCGAACCACCCGAACGCCCTCTGTAAGGAAACAACATGTTGGTTACCGGTTTTGTACGCCTTCTGGAATTTACGGAACACTTGAAATCATCCTACATAAAAACTCCAAGGCCCCGCTTCCGTGATGCGGTCTTCAAAAGATGGTCTGCCAACCTATATGCGTTACTGAGTCTGTAGCGTACATATACTATGCTACACTTTTTCAAGGAGAACGTTAATAAATTCGCCTTTGACTAAACAAAAACCGTCCAGGTCTCGTTGCAGTAGTTCGGGAGCTTCCTGTTTATCGACCACTTTCCCTATCTTGATGTCATCGTCAAAATCAAATAAATCGACTTCATGAAATGCATGAAGTTGTTGATGATGTCTAAAAAAAGCTTGGCCCCAGCACTGAGCCATGTGGAACACCGCATTCTACCTCTATCTATCAGACAATTAGCTCCGAACCCGCGCCTGCAGCCGCAGCTAATGGAGGACATTTTCGGTCGGTCTAAGGACAGGATACCCTACACCGTAGGTTTGCAACACATGGATAATTACGCGGCGATCTTAATGGTCACAGGATTCGTAAAGTGTTCGGGATAGAGGAATGAATTCCTAGTTTCACAATATGCTGTTTCGGTCCAACTGCTAAGCTCAATCAGTAAGACGGCTTACATGACTGATGTCGACAGAAGCCGTGTTGCTCCACTTCTAGGATCCTGGAGTTTTATAAAGAAGTTACTAATGTCCCTGCTATGATCGACTCCAGTACATTTGATAATACTGGGAGAAGGAACACTGGGTGGTATTTGTCGGGTTCCGAACAACTAGCTCCCTAAGAACAGCTAAGTAACGGAGGCTGTGATGATAGCCCTAATGATTTGATGATTAATGCGTGGATTCCAACTGGCTCCGCAGGCTTGATCCCGTCAAGACTGACCAACAGCTTGCTTACATCTTTAATGCCGCAAGCCAGGTTCTCTGCTTCAGCAATGGCGGTACCCATTAAAATTCATACGGACATCTGTTCACTCGCAAATACGGGAGTTAATTGCGCCTCCAATACAGACGCACGATCTGTGCTCGGTGTTAGGGTCTATCCATTTGCGCCCTCCAACACGGGCATTGTCTGCAGCACTCAGGCGCCGCTTTACGCAGGCAAAGATACATTTGTGAACAGTTTTTGCTGCGGTTGCAACCTGATATTCGAAACTTCGGCGCTTTAGTGTCTTCGCGTTGTGGCAGGGATGAAAATGTAGCTGCGTCTCGGTCGCATGACTCTTCCCAAGATGAATACAATTAAAAAGATTAAGTTGTGTGGATAATCATTAGGCCAGCAAACTATTCATGTTGCAGCAAACGTTGCTTTTTGAAATGCACTGCAATAAAATGTAATAATCCGAATGTTACTGGGTATATCTTTCCATGTGATAGCCAAACTTGGTTTGGGAAATAAAAGGTCACATGTGTGAGCGATTTGTCGGTAAAATGCTATAAAACTGATACAGAATTGTTGCAGTTATCGATCATGCTGTAGCATGATGAAATGATCGACACTGAGGATTCACTAGGATAAGTTTTGAACAACACAAACCAGGAGTATTTTGTAGCAGCCAAATGTGTCTCTGGTGGAAAAGTTGGCATACACTAAGGTGGCAAAAGGAATTAGTGTGACCGACTGACACAAAATAATCGCCTTTTGAAAGGGACGATAATACGAAACTCATAATGTCTTCACGTAATTTGTTCATATCAATAATTTATCGTGCCGTTATAATTTTAGAAATATAGTATTATACATGTTATTACTGACTTTATTATTGTGATCGAATCTACCTTATGGGTAACGAGGATGGAGATTTCAGTGGTTAACAGCAAAATGTGATTCGTATAGCCTAAAAAGTAAAGATGCAATTCACTTTCGACAAAGCAAGAGTGAGTCAGGACTGGCCTTTTGCACAAATCACTACGTCTACTAAGGATGCAATATTGAGGGTATCACATTGCCCAGTAATGTTAAAGCGCAGGTATTCATGATCAGAAACACTACACTTTATGGAACTTTAATCATGCATTTGCCAAATTCGCTGCCAAGTAACCGGTTCACAGTCTAACTTAATTTTCTTCCATAGCCTAGAGATAACGAGCTTGTCTTGTAACCTTACGGCGCGAATTCGAATCGGCGTAGGGGTGGGCGTCCTCGCGGTATAATTAGCCCGCGTGGGACGGATGTTGGTCGCACGGCAGCGAAGCGCCGTTACGGCCTACAGCTGACACATGATTAATAATATTATCTTCCCTTAGCAATTCCTGATGCAAATTTAGCCTTTGGATACAAACCGAGAGTGCTGGAACATAGCTCGCCATGGCTGACTCTAAGTCAATACAGATAATTATTCTCAATTAATCAAATTGGCTTTTAAACCGGATTCTACCAATTTTGTTTCTACTGTACTAAATGTTGGTTGGCCTGCATGACCGCCAAAGGAACCTTAAATGATGATATGTTTGTTATTGGTTGATCATCGGGCTTTATGGACGCAACAAACCTTAACTTCCATCAGACCATCTTTCACAGTTGTGCAAATGAAGATTTTTAGCTATATTTGTTTTTCATTCTTTTCATCTGGTGCCTGCACTTTTGCTGAAAACATTGAAGTCGCAAGTCCATTTCTGGTCACTGGAAAACTAACGCAGGATCAGCCATACTCGAAAAGGTTCCCTTGTCCGACATGTGAGACTACCGTTTGGTATTTTTGTTATATCAATCTGTGTTTGTGCTCACTGTCATTCACACTCACCATTTATCGTTAACACTGTTTACCTTATATCTCATCCTGACAACGTAGAAGCGAGCTATGGGCAGAATGAGGTAGAAGCAGTAACTGACCGATGAGGGTACCTCCAAACAAGGGAATCCTGACCAAGTACAATGTTCATAACCTCACTACTTGTGAGGTTTAGATATCCGCAGAGAACAGCAGTAATTTCCTAACCATGACACACGCACGCTATGGGTTCTTCAAGACAGTGTAGAAACATTTGTTAATTTAATTCAGTCGCTGCCCAGTACGGGGGTGCCGGAGGGGGGCTATCGGTGAATTAATTGTGACATCACAATAGATGCCTGTAGTGTGCAGAACATTTGCTGTCATACTGTATGTATTATTTCCATATATTGTTCACATGGAGAAAAAAGAGAATTTTAGCAGCATCTGACGCAATATTTAAGAAGTACACAATGGTGAAATGATATGGTCAATTCTAATCCATCTGTTGGATTTTATGCTATCAGCTGCGAACACCTCATAAAAAGATAAAAGTTATGGTTGCATATTTCTGATTCAATCTACATTGTGACTTTAAATCTACGCCACATGAAATTAATATCATCCAGCACACCACTCGTTCATACTCACTTGTTTTATGAATATCCTTCAAGCATAATTCTGAAGTGACAGCTGAACTACCAAACATGGAAAAGTGACAGCGAACAATGACACGCCTGTTATTGAGGGTGGAAAAGCAAAGGCCTACCAAGTTCAGCAGATGGCGGGATGCGACCACAAGATCAAGAGATATAGTCGTCTTGAATTTAAATGTGAAATTATGATTTCCTGGAGTTGGGGATGTGAGTGCGTCATGTACTCCAATGCAAGACGGTGATTTAAACTGGAATTAAGTGGTTAGGGAACAAACCAGCTTAAGGGGCAGCCATAGCAGTAATTTGTTCCAAATGAAGGAAAACAAACGCTCATGTACGGCCTTCTCCTTAACCCGGGATGCACAACTCCGCAAGAATACCCAGTTCTAGTGCAGAGTTAATTTTTCAGTTACAATGTGCCTTCAGCTTGTTGAAGAGGTGGTACCCGCATCTTTTCATTTTATGCATTAAAAGCTACAGAAATTCAGGTACTTGATCAGCATAAGTCGGTTTTTACGAGTTAATGTACTTAAGGAGAGCTTCCAAACTGCGCAGCTCATTAAAGCGTGACGAACCGAAAGTTCCCAGCTCCCCAGTTTCAAACACCGCTAATACAAACGCTAAGTTCAACGCATAAGCGAGACGTGGTCAATGACCGACATTAGCTGTGTTCACTATGAGCGGGTTGTCTTTGTAACGGTTCATAAGCACTTATCAATAAAACCCTATGATCGTCAGTTACACTCAACATGCATAGGTTTTTATGTTTAAGCCTAGCAACAAGCCAAATGATTACCAAGTTTATTCACCTGACCTCTGCCTACTGACTCTTGATAGGTTTAGACAATGGGTTGACGAAGTGTCTCGCATGTTTGGTGGACTGGACATTTGCTCCGTGGAGGCGCTTCAAAGCAAGAATGGAGAGTATTTCATTTACGAGGTAAGCTTATAACTCGAAGCTCCAGGTGAGATAATAATCATATTTGACTTAAAGTTTGTATACCAATTTTGTAGACATTTGAGCGATACGCTTATGCTATATTCTGGCGGCTGAAGTTAATTAAATAAGCGAAACGATGGCTTTTAGCCTGCTTTTAGCCTGCATACTGGCGTTAGGATTATGTTCTCAAGGGCGCCTATATGAAATACAAACCTGGAAAGGTTAGCATCCGCTCCACAGTATTAATTCATCAGTCTTGACGTACGATCATAAAACATCAGATTGCTGATAATTGATGCAGACTCCTGGAAGCAGCACACATAGTTTCAAAGTAAACGGCAACAAGTTTTGTACAGTATTTGGGACTCTATTGCAAGAATGTAGGAAAATTGACCAACATTCTGGTTGGTACTTACTTGTGAACATAGAATACATTCCGTTTTATACATAACGATAAGAGGCGCTACAGAATCAACATGTAATTGTGCTGCTATTCGTTTGGGGTTCCCATTGCATTCTTAACTCGGTTTACCCACAGATCATATTACTGCTGTTTATTCCTTATCTTGTCTATAACTGCGAAAGCAATAGGGAGCCAAGGCATTGCAATCCTAATTGAACTGCAACTTTAACAAGGACATTTACAAAGCCTGCTTCCTGACCTGTGACCATAAGCCATTGGTGATACAGTAACTACCAAGGAACTTTCGCTTCCCATGTCGTCATACTGCGTCTTTTCAGTCTGGCGCTTAATCACGAGGATTAAAATTATCCTATGTACAACGATGCCTAAAAACGTGCCTGCTTTGTGAACCGCAGATAACACGTTCCTGACAGACACTCCCCAACAGTGCATTGCCAGAAGAAATTTCTATAGTGTGCAACATCAGTATAATAAACGAAGTGAACTATCAAGGGATTTAATTTGCAACTGCCCCATAGGTACAATAAGTAAAATTGTCTCTGCTTCAAAGTTTATCAAGTTTTTATTTCACTTATGTAGGTGAACGGATCGGATATGGTTTTATTCGGTGACAGTCAGGAGGAGGATCGTCGAGAAATCGCCGAATTAGTGTTGCAACGAATGCAGACTGCTTGTTTGCAGGGCACAGTGTGAGTTCCCATACCGGTGCCACTTTGCTTCTTGCTTTAAACAGCGATATATACGTCAGCTGTATTTGTTGCATCAGCTGATGGGCCGCTGGTAAGTAACAGTTCTGTTGATGTACAAACATTCAGACAGCGTGCGTTGTACGTCAATGCGTAACTTTCGTGGCTACCAGTCTTGCGTTGAATTTTTCTCCTTGGATTAAAAGTGCTAGCTATCAGAAAACTAAGCGGTATATTGTTTTGTTCCTAATACGGTAAATTTCCTGGGGGGACAAACAAAATCACATCTTTATCTCCTCATCTCATTGCCAGATGACATCTTGTCGAAATAAATGTTTAACATCCTGCGCATATAACGTTGCCACAACTGGATTTTGCTTTCGTATGTGGTAGGGCTGTCCTACGGTACCTTTTCTTAGGGGCTGTACAGTTCGTGACTGGTCACATGTTTGCCGACGGAAAAAACTTGCAAACATACGTCAGGAGTTAGATGTCAACAAAATCTCACTGACGTGTGTACTGTCAAGCACGCAATTGCGACTATTACCTCATTGTACCTGTGAGTAACACGTAAGTGCAGTCGCTAGCAATACATCGCCTCGAGCACTTTTGAACCAATTTAAAGCAAAGTATAATTTTCCTACTTTGTGTCTGTACTATTCAATAGTGTCCATTTTAGCCTGTTAGTAACGGGAATGAGAAAAATGCGATTGTTTACCTCCCACAGGAAACCAAAGTATAGGTTTCGATGTAGTCGATTAGGAGGAGAAGCGGGGGAGATAAGCATCAGCGCGGTAATTACAAACTAATCAGCTCGGTTCCGATTCACGTAATTTCTTTGCAAACGAACCGTTACTACGATGGGAAGTGCTTTCAGGGGACCAGCTTTTCGAAACATATCCATTGCCACATCACACCTACGGGTCTTCGGAGCGATGACACACGCTGCGGGAGTAAACACAGGCACTGAGGTCGATGTAGGTTTGCGACATGGCGGTAGTGGGGTAGTGTCATGCATCCCCTAAGGATAAGTTGATTTTTGTGAACCTGACTCCAAAATTCTCAAGATTGCTCCGGCCCGGATGGACGCTTACCAAGAGGGAAATAAGCCGTAAGATTAAATACGTCACAGTCTATCAGAGACTCAATACTTTGCCGGTATATCGTCAGCGTAGTTAGATCACCAACGAATACCCCAAAGTTGGCACATGGGGACGCATGAATTTTACTAGTTGGTACGCGCTTGTAGCCCAGTGTCACTTTACATGAAATCATTTGCTTGTAAACCTACTGGGGTTTATGGAGTAATGCTATTTAATGAATCGTACACGCTAAACCTGTTGTAGGCAGCGCTACATTTGGCTATCGCTTGATACCAGCTAGCGATGAATTGACAGGGATCTTCTACCGGACTTGCGAAACCAAGTAATCCGATTCAGCTGCTTCATGAAGTCGGAAAGGGATTAGTAGTTAACCCAATTTTATACGAGTTAGTTTTTTAGATCCTTGAATAATCCAGTGAATTCTGTATGCCCAAGTGTAGCTAGATTAAACCAAACCCACGCTGTTTTAACAGGAACGTTGAATTAACTTTCATCTAGTTCGGTTAGCGAAGGGGAAAGATAAGTTCCATTAGCCATTAACACAGATATGCCCTTGTTTGTAAATATTGCCTACACACCTGTTGATAGGAACTTGATACCAGAATGAAAAAAGTGCAATGATTTATGACGGTTAAAAAGGTGATTAATTCCGTAAGATGATCAGAGTAAAGATTATGAAATCGATGGTTAAAAGCTAACATGGAAAAATGGAGAGATTCGGGTACTGTTTGACCCAGAAACCAGAGCAAGTCCCTCATGGCCCGTTTGTAGGCGCAGGCTTCCTCTGGTTGTCCTATGAAGCATACAGTCACAAGCGAATCCGGGACCGGATGCTGCCAACTATGTTGCGGAAAAGGCTGGTGAGCACAAAGTTCGGTTTGAGGTAATTCTCCCTCCGCGTGAAACGGGCTATACCACGTAGTTCGGGCGGAATTGTGTGTTATCAAATCGCTTTTGGAAAAGCGTAAGTGTTGGGCCAAAATGATGTGGGTTGGAAGGGCGTTCGATATTTTGGATACCTGAGAGGAGAAAGTTTTCTCAACAGTCAAGTCAAAATGTAGTGAATAGTTCGTTTGACCTTGTAGCCCCTCAGGTTAGTATTGTGGTTGCGTTGAACAGATCGTAACAGGCGCGATTTGGGTTTGTAATTATTAGGTATAACATGATGAGGTTTCCTTGCTGACGCCCTTAATCACCGCTGTACAATCCCACAGATTACAGTCTGTGTTGGTTTGAGACGTGGAAAATGCTCTTATAGAATTCAATCGCTTTGCGCTGTGGCGCTTCAAGTGCATCAATATGGTGCTTGCATCAGCGACGCCAGACATGGATCGCGTATTCTGCATGGGGTCTTGTGTAGGGGTACAACAATTGCGGAAAGATTGATGGCTTAAACATTCCCAAAGCTCTCTGTAAGAGTCCAAGGTACTGACTGGCAATTCGCGATGCCTTTTCAGCTTGTTTACACTAGCAAAGGACATCTTGAACATTTACTCCGATAGCGCTTTTCCAAAAAATCCGTTGCAGCAGCTGGACTCCAACTCGATATGCATAGGTAGCTGATTATGCATGCGCACAACATTGAATTCCACTACGTTGAATTGAAGCTGGTTTCGGTGGACCATGTATAGGCCCAATCTAAAGCTCTCTGCAGCTTTGTTTGATCATCCACTTTGTGATGTCGTGCCAGATCTTGAGGTGCTCTTTAAATAGTAAGAAATGCGAATGGGGCACACTGGCACGATCGTTGATGAAGACTGGGAACAAACGTAGTTCCCGTACCGATCATTGGGGCACGCCATACGGGACTTCAATCAGCTGATGTTGAATGAGGAAGTTCCTTATACAACCTAAAACACGGTCATCAATTCCATAGCTTCGAAGCTTGTGAAGGAGACTGCTGTGGTCCAGAAGGTCGAACGCTTTAGAGAACTATTGGTAGATGACATTGGCGCCCACTCTGGCATCGACAGATTCCGTCCAGCTTACTGCGATAGACAGCAAATTACTAGTGCAGGACCGTTTGCAACTAAATACATACTGCTGTGATATTGTTGTTGTTGTTCTCAAGGTGTCCCGTGAACTGCTCTTCGATTATACCTGCCGTTAGTTTGAATGGCACGGGGAGGAGAGTGACTGAGCGTTTGTCCTAGCGCACAGCGCGATTATCACTCTTGTAAATAGGATTGACTATCCCAGGTATCCACATACGGGGAACCGCGCGTTTCATCAAAGCATTGTTAGTAGAACCGAGCTAACAATTCGGAGGTATTCAAGACGAATGGCATTAATGATTTTGGTTTTATGCCGTCCCCGCTAGGAGATCTGTGCACGCACAAGTACGATTGTCTTTTCATCAACTTGACTGCCGTGAATGATACGTGACTTAACATTGAGATTGGTGCGAGCTGTGTCCAAAGTGGGTGAGATGATTCACTCTGGTGCGTGTGGATTAAGTGTTGCCGAAACGCAGTGGCCCCCACTTATTTAGTAAGCCAGGCTATCACCTACATGTTGAACTAGGATTCCGCATTCCATGCTCCGGCGCCTGTTGACTTGCCTGTATAGGCCTTTAGGAGTAATACTGAATTTCATCGCTATGGACAGTTGATGCTGTCTTCAAGAACGAACTTGACGCAGCGGTTTCATTGAGTCGTATAGGCACTCCAGGCCTGCACACTCGAGCAGGCCTTGTAAGAGCGCTAGGCTGAATCAATTATGACTATGTATTTTGAGTCCTGCTCCTCAGAAACGACTTCACTTGTTTAACCTGAAAGCCTTTGGGTTCTGACGCATTTACCACTGCCTCGGTGAACTGAGTGACAAACTCCGTCCAGGCGACATTGCGTGGCTACTCGGGTAGGCAGAACCAGTTGGTTTCTTGAACCAGGTCGGACAGGATATCTTAATGGGTGACCACATGGGTTTCCACCTTGCTTTCAGCGGAGTGTTACACCGTTACTTAGTTTTCATGTTTTCTACATGTAGTCATAATGCATTGAAGTTGGAACTGATGAACTATATGTCCTTAAACTACATATTTCCCGATAATAGGAAATATAGCTAGCTGCAGGTGGGCTGGTTATAATGACACAAATGGCTACGGCAACAAAACAGGTAAAAGAAACAGCGCAACAAATTTTAAAATTGGAGATAGTAAGTCACTTATATTGGTTCACACAACAATGTCCACAAGTATTACAATGAAAGTGAAAAATGCCAGATGATAAGTTCGTGATTGTGTTGTGTAGCTTTCTTAACCTAATCACTAAAAGAAATAAAAATTTCTATGCCCTAGCAGTCTTTCATCCATAAACCAAGCGATTTTAGATTAATCAGTCTCGCCTACTAGTTACTCTTTTATATGCATGAATACGGTTAGTTCGTCTGGGTTCTGCACTAACTACTAACATACTGGTAATATGTGTAGAAGACGGAAGCTAATTGAAGATGCAGAAAATGAGTGAAAATCTAAATGCGAAACATCAAATCACAGAGGAGTACGGCAGTGAACATATGCAAAAATACACTAGAGAGAAATGTAATAAAAAGGTAGAGTAGTATTTGTACATCTATGAGCAAAATAGAAATATATCTTGTACACATACGTAACATGCTGCAAAATCATTTGCAGTGACTCCATCGTGGGAGTTACGTACTACCTTTTACCTCTTTAAGATCGACGAGCAAGAGGAGAAAGAAAGGTGATAATCCTCTAAGATCACCACCTGGATCAAATCCCTCAGCAAATTCAATCAGTTTCTTACGAATGCTTCAGAGACAAATGTTTCCCATGGGCCAAAACCGTTTCTATGCTAAGGAGCGGAACCAGAAAGTGGATGTTAGTACGCAACACAGCATGACAAGAGTATAGTTTCTCTCCAACGCCAGATATTTGGG